CATAACATCTTTTCTCTTTTCCAACATAAGCTGGACGAAATTTCTACCCAAACCTTTGTGACTGTAAGGGACTGCAGCCACGTGGAGACACCTAGATATAAACCTGTGAATCATCTGCGTATTGCAGCAAGAGTATTTTATAAAAGTGAACTTAAGGATTCCCTTATTTGATTTGCAAATCACAATGGCTGCCAATAGTCATGTAGGACCATAAAAAAATGTCACATGGTCTTCTCCAAACCCACCTGTCCCCGGTGAACCCTGCGTTGCATTGGCAGTGTCCAGTTAAAGGGTCACATTTACCGCCATTGTGGCAAACACACTCCTCTGTGCAGTTTGGTCCAAACTTCCCATCAGGACATGGTTCCGTGCAGACAGCACCCTGCCAAACACCAAATGTTATTAGAACCAAGCTAATGTTCCAGTCCAGACCAACAGAGAAGATCCGGGTGGAAGCCTGAGAACGTACCGTCCATCCAGACGGACAGGCGCAGACCCCTTTGCCCTTACAGTGGCCATCATTCTGGCAGGAGCACCGCGGCTGGCATCTCTTTCTGCACGTCTTCTCACAGCTGCAGGATGATGGAGATGAGGAGACGGTTAAATGGCTGAGGACTAAAATCAAGGTTTCTGTCCTATTATCATGAATTTGATTATTAAGCCATTGAGTCTGGATGCTGAGCTGCCGATTCTGAAGCAATAGCTAGATTTCTGTCACATCAAACAACAGCAGAGCATGTTTGTCTAAAGCTACAGTTTTTTACTCATGTTCTTCTCATTACGACGTCCAGGAGGTAGAAAAAGACACATTTCAAACATTCCTATAACAGAGCTGCATCTTATCCAACCTGCTGCCAAGTTTCTGCTTTTTCCTCCCTGAAAAGAATAGTGCTGATATGTAAAGCTGGCAGGAAGCTAGCTTAAACTTAGAGCAATGTGCAGTGGAGTCATGTTCTCTTGTCTTCAGAGGGAGCTTAAAGCAGGGTGTAACAGATGACTCATGGAGCAGCATGGAGCAGCATGGAGCAGATCATCGGGGGTCTTTTCCTTCTTCAAATTAAGCTGGGAAAACTCAAAACAGCCGCTCATAAAAGAAATGAAAACTGGCTGTACCTGCAGGGAAAACTGAGATAATGAAGTGTTCCGTAATGAAGTCTGGATAAAAAGTCTCCCTGAAGAACTTCTGCTCTAAAGCGGACATTTTCATTTTCATCTAAACATGGAAATGTTCAGGTCCTGATCCAGGTCCTGATTCAGGCTCTGATCCAGGCTCTGATTCAGGTTCTGATTCAGGTCCTGATCCAGGTCCTGATTCAGGCTCTGATCCAGGCTCTGATTCAGGTTCTGATTCAGGTC